GGGAGAGATATGCTGGGGATCAAATCCCAGGTCTCCAACCTGCTAAACATGCACTTGACCACTGCAGTATCATCCCCCGCCCCCAGGCAAGTCACTCTCCTCTGGGCCTTGCTTTTCCCAACTTCACAGAAAGGCTGGATGGGGTAGAAAGGTCTTTTAAGGCTCTTGTGGAATTCTAGATGCACACACTAGGCCAACAGCTACTGTGCATCTGTGTGGTGCTGGGATCTATCCATAGCTTTGAAAATGCTCCCTGTCCTAAAATAAATGGCATTTGATGAGGGTTCTTGAGGCATCCGTTACTTCTGTGACTCAGAAGTAACCCAAGTACTTTCGGAACAGGACTTTGTGGGGTCCTAGGATGGGGCTGACGCCCACAGCAGAACTGGTACCCACGTGCTGCCACCACTTACCTTTTTCATTGACCTCTGCTGTCCAGTAGACGTCTGAGTCGAATTTGAGCTGGGCCTGGAAAGGGGAGGAGTTGGGGGACAGGTCCTTGTCTGTGATGTTCAACATTTGGGGCACCGGGTTTTCATTGCAGATGGTGATCTCCTGGGGCTCAGGGACCGGGCCGTGGTCATTGATGTCAGTAAGTGTTAGCAGGAGGGTCCCGGTGCCAGTGGCGGGAGGGTTCCCTGTTCATAAACACACACATAATCCCCTTTCAGCATCTGCCCTTGGCTGGCGGATGAACAATGTTAAGCTGCCTGAGTCCTTCTCAGTTGCCCTCGGAAAGGCTCCTGCTAACCACTTAGCTCTAACTCCTCAAAGTCCTCCATCCCATAGCTTTCGTATACATCAAACCAGTGACGGCAAAAATACACGGCAATCAAACTATCATCCCGACTTGTGTCCACAGCAGACATCACTGAGCAGTCTCAGTACAGCTGCAGCCACTGCACCCTGAGAGCCCGGACAATCCGTCACAGAAGAGAACTCACTGGCCACTCTGGGGCTGCTCCAGTATTTACTGATGAGCATCGGGGAACCTGCCTCCAGCCCCTTGCCACAGATTAATCCATCACGGTGAGACATCACTAATGAACCCAGGCATCCCTTATCGATCAACTGACAGGGGTAACTGAAGCCCAATTCAGGATTCAGTGATCCAAAATCTCAGCATGGCCGGGCATGGTGGCGCACGCCTGTAATCCCAGCACTCCGGAGGCTGAGGCAGGAGGATCGCTGCAGTTCGAGACCAGCCTGGGCTACACAGTGAGTTTGAGAGTAGTCTGAACTACATAGCGAGACCCTGTCTCAAATAAACAAACAAACAAAAAACCCACAAAATCTCAGCATGAAGGGAAGTCTTCAGGACCTCTCCTGACACTTGGGTATTAGGAAAATCAGGGTCACAGGCTTCACCCTAGGAGTGGCCTGGCCTTTTAAAGACTCCTCTGGAAGAGCCCTCTAACTCCACACTGGTTTGCTGTCTAACCCCACCCCATACCTTGCTACGCAGAGGACGTGCTACAGTGACACAGGAACCAACGACATCCCTTGTGGAAGGGCTGGAAAGGAAGCACTCACCATTATCAGTGGCCAGGACCATGACTTCGTAGATGTTGTTCCTCACAAAGCGCTCATCCTCGCGGTCTAAGAGGCCTGCAGCAGTGACCTGCCCACTGTCTGGGTCCATTGCTAGCCACCCGGCTGGGTCTCTCAGGATGTGGTAGCTGGAGAGGAAGGGTCACATTAAGAATATTTGGAATTCTGTCATCTTTCAAAGCCTCCTCAGGCCAACTACAGATGGTCAGGGGGCTCCTAAGCCCCCACTGGAAAAACATCTCATTGGAAACGCAGCCTAAGGTAGCAGGCAGGGGCCCATCAGTGATATGGAAGTGATGAGAGGACATAGCTTTCCCTGGTCCCCCAACTCAGTGTCTTTATCTGAAAGCATGGAAGGAGAGGCCCGGTGCAAGAGCAATATTCAAAATACTGAACCATCTTTTGATAACTGGAAGAACCCATCCCACCCATTTGATGCATTTATCTGACGCAGAGACCCGTCCCCAAGTACCTGATCTTCTGGTTCTCCTTGTCGGGGTCCTGTGCAGTGTAAATGCAGACAGCCTCACCAACGGAGATACCCTCCTGGGCCTCGATGACTTTGGAGGGTGGGACAAACATAGGGGCCTCATTCACGTTCTCCACATGGATCACGACGGTGGCCGTGGAGGTTGGGAGCTTCACCACAAAGGGAGCCTCATTCGTCACTTCTACATACAATGTGTGTTGGCTTTGGGCCTCAAAATCCAAGCCCTAGGAGAGAAGAAATAAGGACCTGAACCGCCATTTTTGTGAGGCCTGTGGACATCAGAAGGAAAGGGCCCACAGTGAGGTGATTGAGGGCCCCTATCAACAACAATCCTGCTCTATCTCTATCCCCCAAAGCCTCCTGATTTTTCTGAGTAGATATCCAGAGAGACTTCTCTAGAAGTCTCTACCCCAAAGGCAACTAGCTTAGGGCCGAATGAGGTGGTGACAATAGGGGATATTTTAGAAAGTAACAGAGGCATTCCAGTTGTCATGCCTAGGGTGCCACTGGCATTTTAAAGCCGAGGCTGGAATGTCATGTTCCACAATTTTATGAACACAAAGGACAGATCCCATGTCCCATGTGACTTGTCAGTATGTCCTTTGACATTTGTACATCTGTGGATGTGAAAAATCTGTTTATAATGAAAAGTCTAGAACATGTTTTATATATAAACTAAATTTTTTTGGGTTTTTTTTTTTGTTGTTGTTTTGCTTTTTGGTATGGTTTTAATATATACTGAATGCTCCAGGATTGCAGCTTCTGAGAGAAGCTTATAACTTAATTTGTTTAGAACTTTTTCAAGAGTGTGTTCACTGTTCTGAAAAAGACATCAAAACCACTGTGGTATGTGTTGCCAGGGCAACATACAGTATCCACGGCATTTGGGTGATTCTACAAAGAGATTCAAGTACCTAGCCCCTTCTTTGCTTTCTAGTAAGTTGTGCCCAAAGTTTACATATTGAAGTATTTGTATTCAGTAACTTTTCCTGTAAATTTATCCTTTATTTCATAGTTGGAGTATTATTTTCCTAAAATGCATGAGTTAGCCAAGATGTATTACAAATGAATTCAATTTCATATAGGGTTTTTTTCTTTTTTTTGAGACCAGGTCTTCTATGTAGTTCTGAGAGGCCGTGGAGGTTGGGAGCTTTACCACTTGTCACTTCCACATATAGTGAGTGTTGGTTTTGGGCCTCAAAATCCAAGCCCTAGGAGAGAAGAAATAAGGGCTTGAACCACCATTTTTGTGAGGCCTGTGGACATCAGAAGGAAAGGAACTCACTATGTAGCCTAGGCTGATCTTGAACTGGCAGCAATTCTCCTGCCTCAGCCTTCCAAGTGTTGGGATTACAGGTGTACGCTACCATGCCTGGCTTTTGATTTCATGATGTAAAAGTAGCATTATAAAATATTTGTCACGAAAAGGGGACAATGAAATTTTTTTCTTTCCCTAAAGCTGGGGAAAGAGCCTTGTACATACTAGGCAAATGCTCTACTAAGCTATATCCTAAGCCCCCCCCAAAACAACCTTTAAAATATTATGTAAAACTTTGCTTCTCAAAGGAGGCCACTCTTAGAAGTAAATAAAAAGGTAAAAGAAATCAAAGAAAGGGCCGGGGATTTAGCTCAGCGGTTCGGTGGCCTGCCTTGCAAGCGCAAGGACCCGAATTCAATCCCCGGTACCAAAAACAAAACAAAACAAAACAAAGAAAAAAGAAATCAAAGAAAGATTAGACCTATCCTCTTGAAGAATCAATTGTATTCAAAGACTTTTTGACCCAACCCATGCCCTATTCCTCAATAAAAACAGAAGTTCACAGTTTAAACAATCTTTTTTGAGAGACAAGGATGTGCATACTAAGTGACTGAAACCCTTTTACTACCCAAATACCTAGATACATTAAAGAATAATGCAAAATTAGTGTGACTCTAGGATAAGACTTTGGGAGTTGGCTCTGAGGGAAGCACTATGCTATATGGTTCAATTAGATCAGCCACTCTCACCTGTGGCCCCAGGCAGGCAGTGTCCCCTTGTCTTTGAAGTTAGCCCAGGTGAGGTCTTGCTTAAAGCCCAAATGGACTTCTTTTTTTTTTTTTGGTACCGTGGATTGAACTTGGGTCCTTGCGTTTGCAAAGCAGGCGCCAGAACCACTGAGCCAAATCCCTGGCTGGACTCACCTTCTTGGTTGTCAGGATGCCTTGGTTACTCTCAGGGTCAGTGGTGATGGTAAAATGGTCCCCACTGTCACCTCCTACAATGTGGAAGATGGCGCGCCATGCTGGAGAGTTGGGGGCATCCAGATCGGTCACTGTCAGCCTCTGCACCTCATGGCCCACTGCATTCTCAGGCACCTGAGCCTCGTACTGTCAGTGTAGGAAATTGTACAATGAGAGGAGAGAGACTGACCACCCCGAGAGGTTGTTCCACTCTGCGCAGACCGTGAATCCTCCTTACCACTTCTGGGGAGCCTCACGGCTTTACCGTTTCTAGGGCCACCAAACCCCTTAGCAGGCTGTTAGGATACACACAGGTACAGAAGATCCCAAGCATCAGCTTCACAGGTTCCAAGACAGATCACATCCCTCAACCTTGGGCTGCCTTCTGTTCTCCCAGGGCCTGATGCTCCTTGAGTCTCACTGGTCTTGGTGTCTAAGCCCCTGCCAACTATAGCTACTTAGCTCACTGAAATCAGTATACTACAAGGAAGGTGGAAAGAAGGGCAGTGTCTAATTGTGCTGGGGCCACAGCCAAGAACTTTTATGGTGGGGGCATGGCTAGGGACTGAACCCGGGACCCCTGCATGATAGGCAAGTGTCCTACCACTGAGCTACATCTCCAGCCTCTTAGAATAAAAAATATTTTTTGGTACTGGGAACAAACTCAGGACCTTGCACTTGTGGGGCAGGTGTGATGCTGCTGAGCTAAATCCCCAGCCTCTCAGAGTAACATTTTAATCAGGCATAAGTAAGTTCACCAACTAGAGGTATCTGCAGATGGGGCAGGATCACTCTGACTGGCACTAAGTCGTCTGTCAGTGGAGCTGAGGGGGGCAGGTATAGATGTAAAGTATGGGGCATTAAAAAATGGTGATGGTTTAAAATATAAAAAGATTTATAGTAAAAACACATTGCTATTATGTTCCCCCAAATTGGAAGCACTTCTAGAAATTCTTTCAAGAGTGTCTTTAGTTGTGCTGTCCGTGACTGCCTTGATGTTCTGAATCAATTCAAAACATTTATCTTTCATGTCTTCTGGGGAAGAGCCAGATCCAATGACTAAGATGGATAAGGACACACTGTAATCTTTTTATTTGATAGAAATCTCCACAAAAATTTTGAATCAATTCAGGATACCATCGTAGCCACGAAAAGACACTCATGCAAAAGGACCTCCAGAAGTGCCTCAGAAAGCAAAGAGAATGTGGGCATAAGTGCATTTGAATTGAGGGGGAATAGTCTGAGGTAAATTAATGGCAATGTGGCTTTTAAATTAAACATTTACCATACAATTAGATCACTTCACCCCTTCTAAGGTTTCATGTCAACAAAGATTTTCATACGGAGCGCCTATTTTGCCAGAAATGTGTTAAGAACTATACATACACCATTTCATTGAACACTTAGAACAAAGAAGAGGTATTACCTTCACTTCACAGATTAGGAACTGGGCACAGAGGGTTAGACAGTTTGCCTAAGTCACACGGCCAGAAAGACGTGGGACTAGGACTTGAAGCCAAAGGACTGGTTTCCGAGTTTCATGCAAAAGGAAAACCCTTGGTCCTCTCATTACAGATGAGGGATGAAGGCAGGAAGGAGTGCTCATTACCTTCTGGGTGTCAAATACAGGAGCATTGTCATTGGCATCAAGGATTTCCACTATCGCCACTGCCGTGGTGGTGGACCCCTCCCCGTCCATGTCTGCGGCCTGGATGGTCAGCGTGTACTCGGGGACTTTCTGGGGAGAAAAGGAGACGGGAAGAACCCGCTGTGAGTCCCTTCTGAGGGACCCTCCCCTGGCTCCGGGAAGCACAGCCTTGGTAGGTTACTGGGGGAGTCCCCGCCTCAACTCCTCGACCCACCCCCACCGCCACCAGAACACACAGGAGCAGAGGGTGGTGTCGGGCCTGTCCTGGAGACCACCGCGGGCCCCCAGCTACTCCCCAGCGGGAGCTTTGAGCAGGCATTTGTGCAAAGGTATTAATTGGGAAACAAGGCGACTCCAATACCCACGGAGCTAATTCTACTTTGTGCTACACCAGGGACCTATCTGGGGAATGTGTACACTAAGTGAGCCATTCCAAGAGGAAATGAGAAAACCTCGGGAAAATATCTGAAGCTTGCATTTTACAGCTGCCTTCTCATCCTCAGAGGAGACTTAGGCAGCAGCCCACTGGCCCTGGGGAGCTGGTGGGCCATCAATCAGCACGTGAGCACTGCTGCACCTTCCTGGGTGACGCCCCCCGCCCCGGTCCTGTGACCTCGGACTCAGGCTGAGCGTGGGCCAGCCCGGCAGGCACCCTCCCTAAGGGCAGCTCACCTCCCGGTCCAGGCCGCTGGAGATGACACTGATGCTGCCTGTGCTCCGGTGAATGGTGAACATGAGGTCATTTGGGTCCTTTGGTTCCTGGCTGTGGATGGAGTAAGCAACCACGCCATTGTTGGTGTCGATGGCATCGTCCTCGTCTGTGGCTGTCACCTGCATCACAGAGGTACCTGGAGACGGGAGGAGGAGTGAGTGCCCTTCTGTCCCGGCTCCAGTTCCAGCCTTGCCTCCATCTGGAATTCTGAGAGGTCCGCTCTGCTCATTAGCTTGCATCCGTCTTTACTCTGTGGCAGAGACTGCTAGCTGGTGCCCATTTTCCACCCTCTTCTTTCTTGGCAGTCTCTCCTCTTGGCTCACCTCAAACAAACACTATTTCCATCCCTCTTTACAGGCAACTATGACAATGAGGTAATCATGAGAACAGAGTCCAGAGTAGAAGAAAAACAAAACAGAAGGGACCTAGCTCTACTTTTGTGAATTCCAGCCTGGCTTCCTAAATATAGAGAGGGGAGGGGAGGGGAGGGGAGTTTTTATCTCATTTAGGATTATTGCTTTTGTCATAGGAAGTTATGTGACTGGAAGTCTAATCAACTCATACTCGTCTGAAATTTTCAACTACATAAAAAGAAATCTTCCCTCCATCAGCCCCCATCTCTGAGGTCATTAATATGCATCTATTACGATCCTCAGCACAAAGAGGGGGGACATCTACATCTGCTGGTTCCCCACAGTCCTCTTCTCCATCTACGGCAATTTTTTTCACCTGCTATTCATAAGCCATGTTCTAGCACATTCCAGCCCTTGCTGCTTTCCTTGTAGATACCTTCTCTGAAAAAATTCATGTCAAATGTTCTGTAGTAATTAATAGTACATATGTGTTTCTAATTTTTTTGTTGTTGTTGGTACCAGGGATCAAACTCGGGACCTTGCACTTTCGAGGCAGGCAGAGGCACCACTGAGCTAAATCCCCAGGCCTTAATACTTCTCTCTCTCTCTCTCTCTCAACCCCTGACATGCACATGTTGTAACCATGGAATTATACCTCCAGCGGCACATTATTTCTAATATTCATAATTCTTCAAGATCAGCCTAATGCCCATTGTCAGATGTGATGACTCTGGCTCAGAGGTCAAGAATATGCCCATGCCTGGCTGGTAAAGCGGCAAAGTCAATATTCGAATCTCAGTATGTAGCTCCTAAACCAGGGATGGCAAACCTTGCAGAGCTTTCAATGATACAAATAGCACTCTGTGGCACACATGCCATAGGTTCGCCACCACTGTCCTAAGCTAGTAAGGCTGAAGCTTCTAGAAATTTCCATATATACAGATTCCAGTGCTTTATTTATTTATTTATTTATTTATTTAGTACCAGGGATCAAATCGGGCCCTTCTGCTTGCAAGGCAGGCAGAAGAACCACTGAGATAAATCCCCAGCCCTAAATGATGTAAATTAATTTCACACAATAAACTACTGGTAAAACCAAGACACCTTCATAATTACATCATCTTTCATAGCTCTATTACATAGCTAGGATTTTATTTAACAAGATACAGACTGGCAGGGGCCGGGAATTTAGCTCAGCGGTTTGGTGGCCTGCCTTGAAAGCACAAGGACCTGAGTTCAATCCCCGGTACCAAAAAAAAAAAAGAAAGAAAGAAAGAAGAAAAGAGATAATCTATATTCATACATATTGGGCTGGGGATTTAGCTCAGCGGTTTGGTGGCCTGCCTTGCAAGCACAAAGACCCGAGTTCAATCCCTGGTACCAAAAAAGACTGGCAAACTGGATTTTTAAAAAGATTCCAGGTCACCTGATGCACAGCCAAAGGAATCAAGGGTGGTGGGGTCCACCTTGGTGTGGTGGTGCACACCTGCAATCCCAGCACTGAGTAGGCTGAGGCAGGAGGATCACTTTGAGTTTGAGGCAAGCCTGGGCTACTTAGTGAAGTGAAGGCCAGCCTGAACTATATAGCAAGAAACTGTCTCCAAAAAAAGAAGAAGAAAAAAGTGGTGGGGTCTTCTAGCATTTAAGGGGTTTGGGCTGACTTTTCAACGGTCCCCAAAGTTACCCCAAATCTAGGTCTGGACCCACCGGACCCATAGCAGTCTTCCCTCCAGTCCTCTTACCAGGGCGTGCCCCCTCCAGGACACTCCCTCGGAAGATCTCCTGGGTGAACTTGGGTCTGTGGTCATTCTGGTCCGTCACGATGATGGAGATGTTCCTGGGCTCCTCCACGGAGGCACCGTTTTCTGACACAGCGTGACCAAAAAGCTGTGGGCACAGAGGTCTGGGGTTAGCCTGCCACGCCCCTCCTCCCCGGGGCTGGGAGCCTGTTGCAGGTGGGACGTTTATGTGAAGTGCTGAGAGCTACTTGCCTCATACTTGGCGATCTTCTCCCGGTCCAGTGGCTTATTCAACAGCAACCAGCCTGTCTCCTTGTCAATGTCGAAGACACCCTCTGGAGGACTATCTGCCCCGGGCCCTGTGATGCTGTAGAAAATCTTGGTGCCTTTATCCTTATCAGATTTGAGCTGGAAGCAAAAGAAAACAGCAGCTGATTGTAGCAAAGAATCCTCGGGGAGAGGTGGGGAGGATACAGCCTTATGAGAATCTTCTCCCTTGACGGGGGCTTTCCTCTGTAGGTCCTAGTACTTGGCAGCAAGAAACTTCAGACTCCGGCCTCTGGGTGGGGTCCCTGTAACCACCCGACTCCCAGAGAGAAGGAACAGTCCTACCTGATGCAGCCTCTTGGGGAAGGGCCCCTTGCCATTCTCAGGGACAGATATCGGCGGAACCACCCATTCTCTCTTGCGTCTTCGTAAGATGCGTTTAGGTAGGGAGGTCTTCAAAGCTTCTTTTTCCTACAAGGACAGAAATCCCCTTAACCTGGATGTAGAAAGAGCTGGGACACCTGCCAGAGTTAAGAGTGAAGAATGGCATGCAGATGGGCCTACTGCCCAAGGAAATTTAGAAATAATCTAAATGTCCACATATAGAGAAGGACAATACATTATAGCACATCTGTGTAATAGAATCTTATGCAGCTCTAAAAAGGAACAAGGATGATTAAATGGCTTTGTTGTTCTAAAAATAAAAAAGGAACAAGGATGTTCTGTATCTGCTGACAAGGAAAGCTCTTTGATGTATGCTCTTAAGTGAAAAGATCAAGGTACAAACAGCTTCATACAGCTTAGAATTTTATTAACAAACACATAGATAGGGCTTAATATATGCAAGGCACTATTCCATCTCCTGGCTGGACATGATGACATGTCTAGCAGTTCTAGCACCCAGGAGGATGAGGCAGGAGGATCACTGGGAGTTTGAGGCCAGCCTGGGCTACATAGTGAGTTCGAGGCCAGCCTGAACTGCATAACAAGACCCTGTCCTAAAAAAACGAAAACACATACACTATTTCATCTTTTGTGTAAGAGGGTAGGAAAATAAGACCACATGTTCAGATTTTCTTAACACAAAGATTGTGAAGACACAGAAGAAACTAATGCCTGTGGGAAGGGGACAGGTGTACTGATACACTGTTAGATACAAAAAGAAAGGTAGGGACATGTAAATAGTACATTAGCTTTTGCATAAAGGAAAGGAAGAAAAGAGTATATTTTTATATCTATATATATACTCAAAACATACAACTTTTCTAAATACATATAACATAAATAAATATATAACATATAGAACTACACTCTAGAGGGAAAGAACTGAGACACCCTAGTTATCTGTGTCTTCTCTTAAGAGGGGTGGATAGGACTTTAGGCAAATAGATGGAAACAAACAAAAGGAGACTGTTCATTGTTTGTTTGTTTCATAGTATGGTATGAGGGAGTGAACCTAGGCAATCACCCTACAACTAAGCTACATTTCCAGCTCTTAAAAAGAAAATTTTTTTTTTTTGGCTAAGATCTCACTAAATCGCCTAGGCAAACCTCCTACCTCAGCCTCCCAGGGAGCTATGATCACACAGATGTATGCTAGTATTTAAAAAATTTTGACCTATGGTTATTTACTACACACAGCAATAAATCTTAGCATTCTGGGATGCTGAAGCAGAAGAATTACAAGTTCAAGCCCAGCCTGGACAACTTTTGAGAACCTGCCTCAAAATAAAAAAATGGGTCTGGGGATGTAGGTCAGTGTGAAGGCTCTCGGTCCCAAGCCAAAGAAAGAAGAGGATGGGAAAGGAAGGAATGGAGAGAGAGAGAGAGAGAGAGAAAGGGTGGGGCCAGGCGGCCAAGTACACCTCACAGAGGCTCACGGCATTGGCGACCCTACCATGGAATGGCCTTCACTTGGAATTTCTCTGGATAATATGGGAGAGAAGGGAAGGGAAGCGGTGAGGGGAATTCAGAGCAGTAGGTGAACCCTGCTAAGGAGCGCAGCTCTCACTGCCCCACAGGCCCAACTCTGAGACTCCTACTGGGCAGCTGTAATTGTGTCCGGGCTTAGGTCAGCACTAGTGCTCACAGCTGGGAGGCCGAGGGCTGCACCACCTGCTCTGACGGACGTGCTTTGCTCAAATGGCGGTGGCGATGGAGGGCTGTTGGGCAGCAGCAATCTGAGCATGCACAGAACATCCTCTTTTTGTACCATCAGGTGTATTTGCAGCCGATGGGTACATAATAATAACCAATGGGTGGGCATAGTGTTTTACCTGGACCGTTCCCTTGCTCAACACAGTGAAGTCGTTATCAGTCTCAAGTGGGGCCAGCTCTTCTTGCCCAGGGCAGCCGGTGAAAGCTACTGTGGGGAAAAAGAATATCAGGACACGGGGCTTAGGGAAACTCCCAGGGGTGGGAATTAGATCTGGCAAGAGTTCCTGACTGGAGCAAGGATAGTTACCAACAGGTTGTAGATGGGGGACTTGGCTTACTTCCTCTGACATGCAAGGTGACTAATACAACTTTCGGACTCAGGAGGGAGTCAGTCAGTCTGTGGATCCAATTCTACTTTGTTCACGAAGGCAGAGAACCAAGATCAGAAACACTCAGTGACCTCGTGAGACACAGGGTTGACTTGAAGTCACAGCTATAAGTGGAACATTTTCTGGAGGCCACAAGTTCATCTGTACAGAATATGTATCCCGTCACACTGTTGCCCCAAGACCACTCCAGACAACCTCTGGTTGTTTCAGTTTGTCACCTACTTCTGAATCTCCTTTTAAGTGGGTACTTTGGAGTTAAATCTACCAGTCTCCAGCCAGAGAACTGGGCCTATTTCATTTATACACTTACCCTACCATGGAAAGGATTAGCCCCTCTCCAAAGAAAACTGACCTTCAGAAACCAGGTCTGCCTGACTCGGAGACATCCACTGCAGGGTATTCATACACAGTATTCTTACCCACCCCTCCCTGAAGCCAAAGCATAAACTCATAATGTTACCTGCCGGGGTGAAGCCCAGACCCCATCAGCTCCAAGCTCTGGCGTCACTGTGCCCATAATTTTGTGAGGCTGCAGCACAAGGACAGAACTGACCTGACATGTAAACAGGGTGAGGTCTCTCAACTGCTCTTTATGGAAAGGCTGATCTCACTTTCTCTTTCATATGTGTATGTATATATATATATGTATGTATATATCCATCCATCCTTGGGGCCAGGAAGTGAGCTCAGCAGTACTATACCTGCCTTGCAAGCACAAGGTCCTGAGTTCGATCCCCAGTACCAAAAAAAAAAAAAAA